AGGAAGCTGCGCATGGAGACACGGAGCTCACCCAACCCGATGGTGCATGGCTTCTACCTGCAGTGCTGCGATCCACGTGTGCTGGCATAGAACTAGTCCAGTCTGGTTTGAAGGTATGTGCCAGTGGGCTGGGCTGGCTCCTTGCCAGCACGTGCAGGCCCTTGGACTTGGCCAGAGGCACACACCACCAGGGACTCTGCCTGCTGAGGCCATGAGCACCCCGAGGGCCTGGCACCTGCTGCTGCTGAGCTGCCAGGGGTGGAGGCTGTGCATCATAAACCCGACACCTACCCACGGATCCCACATACTCCCATACTCACTGCCCCCCCCCATCTACCCCCCCAACCATACAAAGTACCTGCATATATTTCTAAAGAAGGTTCAAATAGTGTTTATTATATTTAGTTTAATTTGTAAAAATAAATAAAAGTAATTAATTTTGTGTAATTTTGAGTTTTTCTGCACAGAATTGCCCAGGGCGTACCGAGTGCCCCACCTATGCCCAGATTGCCCAGCCCCACCTATGTCCTGTGGGACTACCACTCCTTCCCAGGCCAGGGAGCCTGCCCTAAGTCTTCCACCCCTTCACAGCCCCTGCAGGCATGCTCCCAGCCTCCATTGCTCCACAGACCCTAGGAGCCTGTCTGCCCCCTCCCTCTCCCCCTCCTACGTGCTACACCTGCATGAAGTGTTAAGACAGTTTTGGAAATAGGCATTTGGAACTAGTTGACTGTAAGTGGTTGTAAGAAAAAGGGTCCACTAAAAAAGCAGTAGTATTTATTTACAGCTGTTTACCTACATTTAACTCCATTCTCTGTTAATCATGTAGACCAAACTCTGACAGATTGCATACCGCCAATTTAAAATGATACAGCCTTAAGTACTACCAGCTATTTTTTCACATGGATGCATGCATGGACATGTGCGTGCGTGTGTGCGTGCGCGCGCACACACACACACACACACACACACACACACACACACTTACTTTCCCCTCACAGGACATCCCCCCCCTTCCCAACTCTCGATCACTCTGAGGCAGCCCCCCACGACCTGCCCAAATCTCTGTCTAGCTCCTCCTGCTCTGTATTAAACTTACCTGCAGGGAGCTGTTGCCTGGCTGTGTTGTGTGTGGCTGCAAAGATGCACTGTGTTCAGCCAGGAGCACTGTGCCACGCCTCTGTGGGTGGGCGGTGCCAGTGGGAGGGTAGCTATGTGGGGGAGCTAGGATGAATTTTGGGGTGGCCATAGCCCCCAAGGCCCCCCCAGCACTGCTGCCTACCCGCCTGCAGAAGCACAGCGCGTTGTTGCTGGCCCAGCCTGGCCCTGGCCACCCCCTCAGCCCCACTGCTGGTGGGACCCTGCTCCCAGCTCCCAGGCAAGCAATGTGAAAGCTGGAATTTTAAACTTGATGTTTCCCAGCAGAGACAAAAATGGCACTAAGTTTAAAACTGCAGCTTTCACTTCCCTGCTGATAAGGATCCTGGGGGCCCCAAATTGGTAGCGGCCCCTGGGATCTGCCTATGCCCAGGGGAGGCATGGGAGGCACGGTCGGAGCCCTGGGCAGCTCGTGCAGGGGGACTCCAAGGTTTGTGCGTGGGGTAGAGGCAGGCTGTGTGCTGGGCTCTGTGCCCTGCTGCTATTGCCTTGGGAGCTGTGCATGATGCCATGTACCTTCTGCTGCCGGGTGGGCAGGGGACGCAGTACAGCCTGGTGGCAAGATGCACCTGGCGGTGGGACGCACCTGGCATTGCTTGCAGCTCCCGAGGTAGTAGCAGCAGGGTGCAGAGCCCAGCACACAGTGGGCAGCTCGCCTGGGGGGTATGTGCCTTCCATGCTTCCCCTGGGATGTGTGCAGTGGTGGAAGCCCCCCTGCACCCCTGGATGAGCAGCCTGGGGTTCTGACTGTCCCACCACCTGCCTTGGGGCCCCATTCAACCCAACCCCTGCCCCACTCCCTCCCTCCCTCCCCATGGGGGTCTCGATCTGCCCCACCTTCCCCCCAGGCCCTTTCCCCTCAACATATTTACCTGCTGGGTGCTGCTTCACGGTGTGTATGTGTGTGCCCCTCCTCCCAGCCTTCCGCATACTACTCACAGGTTTTCTGTGGTCCCTGTGGTAAAGGAGGGAGTGGGGCTGTGGCTACGGCTGCCCAGCCAGGATGGGCGGGGTGTGGGATGGAGCTGTGGCTTGTCCGGGGAGGTGGGGGGGAGGGCTGTGTGCACCCTGGGAGGGCATGGAGGGGACATCTGGTGCCTGGATCTGCATGGGGTGTGGGCAGGCTGCTGCTGCAGGCTGGGCCTGCACTGGGCTCTTCCTGGTGGTGGCTGGGTCTGGCTGCGCTTGGAGTGGGCGGTGGTGCTAGGAGGGGGGAATGGGGGAGCTACAGCAAATATTGGGGTGGCTGCAGCCCCCGTATAATCCTCTCCCAGCACCACTGCAGCCTGCCATGAGTGCAGCCCAGCCCAGCCCCACTGTGGGGAAAAGCCCAGTGCAGCCCTGGCTGTAGCCCACAGCAGCAGCCTGCCCTGCCCTGTGCAGATCCAGGGGCGCACGCTCCCTGTGCCTTCCCAGGGTGCATACAGCACCAGGAGTCTTCCCCCTCCTCCCTGCACCTCCTGGACGAGCTGTGGCTCTGTCCTGTGCCCCGGCTGGGCAGTGCCTGCCCCAGCCCCACTTCCTCCCTCACCGCAGGAGCCTAGATATGCCCCTTCCCATTGTGGTTCAGTAGGACAGGGCACATGATGGTTTGGTTCTAGTTTAGGTTAAAATCAGCAGGACAGGGGGGCGGGCTATGGCTTGGGAGTGAGGGGAAACAGCATAT